TTGGTACTATCATAACTAAATTAATAAACATCAAACGTAAATTTAACTCAAAAGGCTATATTTTTCAATGCACATATTTTGGTTTTTTTTTGCATATGACTTTAAGGTGCAAAAGTTGGAAATGTGTGTGCTGCTTGTGTTAAATTCATTAAAGGGCGCATCAGTCAGACACACACATTAGATACAATGTGTCAGCTAAGTGTGCTATACTGGGTGGATTCTATAATAAGGATCTATAGCTTAGCGTGTGCATTTGGTGTGTGTTCTATGCATATACAGCAGTTCCTATTATCAGATGATCTAATTATCGGAACTGCAGATGGGGTTTAACTGTATATCCTATAACACTCGCTGTAGGAAAGTTTATGAGATAAAAGATAAATGAGAGGCCCCTGATTGATGGAGCCTCCTGGTATTAGAGAGGCTGTCTGCCGCTACTGCTGGTCTGTGGAATAAGAACTTTTTTATTGTGCTGTTTTTGCATATATTGTCAGCGTTCTATTCATTCATTAAAAGGAACTATAACTATAATAGCTGTATTAGCTGCTAACTGACTTTATACTGAGAATATAAACTTTCCAAATAGAGTCAGACAACACTCCAACCACGGCCAATAGAATGAAGAACTCATATGTGTCTCCAAAAACTGACAGCCCGAGCATACATCACCTTGCAAGTTAACATACCGTGAAGAGCATCATTTTTGGTTGTGTTTTGTTTTGTTTTTAAGAGTTGCCAGTAGTCAGAATTTATTTTGTAAACAACACAAACGCAAACTGAGAATGCAAAAAATGTTATATAATATATATTACATGATTTATAAATTGTAGATTACGAAATACCCAACACTATTGCTGATTTTCTTGAGTATCTGTACTTCTAATGATACATTTTTTATTAATATATATATTTGTTTTGCAATAAATAAGAGTATTTCCTTTAAGATGTGTTTATTGTAATGAATTAAATATGTTTTGCTAATTTCCTTTGACATAATATGTGTATTTTTTTGTCTTTTTTGGCCACTAAATCTACGTACTTGTCTTATACACAGCAGAATCTGATTACTCTTCGAATTATGAAGAATGGTGAGAGCTCTTTGAGACCCCAGCTGCAGTGTTGTGATTATTTTATTAACAGATCATTTTAAATATGCTGTATAAACGTGGGCTCTAACTTACAAACGGTGTCCATATGATTGATCAACTTAACCCCTTAAGGACACATGACATGTGTAACATGTCATGATTCCCTTTTATTCCAGAAGTTTGGTCCATATCTATCCATCCCCATCATCCATATCCATTCCCATCATCCATCCCCATCATCCATATCCATCCATCATCCATTCCCATCATCCATATCCATCCCCATCATTCATCCAGCCATATCATCCATTCCCATCATCCATATCCCATGCGTGAATACGTCCGACATGAATGAAGCCTTTTTAGGGCTTCTGAACTCGGAAGTCCCTCTGGTGGCCGTCTGATTGACTGCAACAAGAGGTGTTCCAAGCTTCCAATGTAAACACTGTATTTTTTCAGAAAATACAGTGCTTACAAGAAAAAGGCTGCCACTAGAAGCGCATCGGCAATGATTGAGGCATATTATGCAACCATTAAGCTGAAGTTGTTCAGGTGACTATAGTGTCCCTTTAAATCACTTTCATTTCACAAATCACAAAAACATGACATCATATGTAGACATACAACTAGACTCTACTGACCAGTAGTTACATTTTAAATAACCAGTAGTTACATTTCATATACATTTAATTTAAAAACCCACTTCTTCATAAAAGTATATCAATTAAACTGTTAATAGCTCCTGACTGATTCCTCTTCTGCAACTGTCATTAGTCTAATACTATTCTTATCTTTTGTGTCATTTTACGCCACTCCCTCTAGCATGTAAGCTCATTGAGCAGGGCCCTCAACCCCTCTGTTCCTGTGTGTCCAACTTGTCTGGTTACAACTACATGTCCGTTCGTCCACCCATTGTAAAGCGCTGTGGAATTTGATGGTGCTATATAAATAATATCATAATAATAATAATAATTATATCACTGACGCCAGTCTCATATTCTGAGACTCTCAACCCAACGCCAGTTATTTAATTAATTAAGCTTATATATGCGGTTCAAAGATGATTTTGTTATTTTACGTTGAGGAACCTTAATTATGATTTTCTGACCTGTGCCTATACATACCAAACGTCACCCACACCCCCTTTAAGGCCTGACTCATTTGCAAGGGGACTCCCTCCTGCCCCCTCTTAGAATAGGCTTGATATACCCCCTTAGCAATACAATAGTCTGGAGGTGCACTAGAACATACCTTTAGGCAAAGAGCCAAGAATATACCAGGCTACCTATGCAGCCTCAACACTGACATACAGTACCCCATAGGTTGAGCACCAACGTATGACCAACCTTGTTTGACCAGAAAATGAGACTAAGATCGATCGACATGGACCACCATAATGTATTACCAAAACCCCCTCCTCCCAAGCAGAGAATTGACTAGAAACCACGGGGCCCCAGTGCGAAAATTGCCCTGGGCCCCTCTCCCACATACACCCCTCCCCACATCTGCCCAGCCCCCCACATGCAGGCAAACAGACACACACATACAGGCACACATACATGTAGACACACACACACAGTCCCACATACATACAAACACACATACATATACACAGACACACAAACACATACATACAAACACATACACAAAGAGCCATACATACACACACACACACACACACATACACACAGAGACACACATACATACAGACAGAGACCCATACACACAGAGACACATACATACACACAAACAGAGACATATACATACATACACTTTTAATCCTTTAATGGAAACATTGTCCCTGACTGCAGTCTTGAGCGGTTCGACTGTCATCAGCCACATTAGCGGGGGAAGTGGACAGCCCTGTCTAGTGCCACTCTTTAACTGAAACCAGCCTGAAATGAAGCTGTTACCCTCCACTCTAACTCTTGGAAAGGTATATAATGCCATTATGGATCAATTAATGTTACCACGAAGAACAATCACTTCCAGCCCACTTTCCAGAAAATCCCACTGGACTCTGTCAAATGCCTTTTCGTCATCTAATGTCAGAGCCAGGAGGGACAAACCTTCTCTAGAGGCCATATCTGAAATGTCTATGAGTCTCCTGATATAATATACCGGGCCTCTACTTGTGACAAACCCAACTTGATCTTGGTGAACAATTGTAGGTATCATACTACTTATTCTCGATGCAATAACAGATGAATATATTTTAATGTTGACATTTAATAATGAAATGGGCCTGTAGTTTGTGAACGACTCATGATTTTTTTTTTGCTTTGGGATTGGCACTAAATGGATTTTCAACATCTCACTATGTTTTCATAAAGTAATTAAAAACACCTGTAAGGGCTCCTGCTAAGTTATTTTCTAATAGTTGGTAAAAACTGTTACTAAAACCACCTGGCCCAGGTGGTCTAGGTGTCAGGTCCCTCTAGGGTTAAGTGGTCTGGGTGTCAGGTCCCTCTAGGGTTAACCCTTCCTGATGTAAAAATAGCGGTTTCAGAGAAACCGCTATGTTTACATTTGGGGTTAAGACAGCCTCTAGTGGCTGTCTTCCGGACAGCCACTAGAGGCGCATCAGCAATGATTGAGGCATATTATGCCTCAATCACGCAGAGCGTCCATAGGAAAGCATTGAAAAATGCTTTCCTACGGACACTTTGAATGCGCGCGCGGCAGTGCCGCGCATGCGCATTCGGTGCCGGTGACGTCAAACAAGGATGCTGACGTCGGTGGAGGAGGAGAAGTAAGGGAGCCCAGCGGGGGAAAGGGGTGAATAGCTGAAGGGGTTTTAACCCCTTCAGCGCCGCGGATGGGGGACCCTGAGGGTGGGAGCACCAAGCGGTTTTCTTGACACTATAGTGTCCCTTTAAACATTAAGTAAAACGTACAGAAACCACTAATTGCCACTCATTAATCATTAACTTTCATAGCACGGAATCAATCAGCAATGTTAGTGACAAAGAGTTAATATAAATGGTTAATAGAACGGTTAACATGTATAGCAACAGCTATTTAGAAGATTAAACACTTGTCACAAAATAATTGCAACAAGCAAGGAAACAAGCTCAATGTAGGCTAAGGATTCATCCAAAAATGCATGTTTATGTGTTTATGTTAGAAGATAGGGTGATAATGATCTGCACACACTCTCTAAGAATGAAGTGTTGGGACATTCCTCCCAGTATGATATATGTGATAATTTTATGCTACCTGGTTTAATGATCAGTAAAGTGATAATGGACTCTTGGAAGAGAATTGTTAAGTACATAATTCGTGTAGTATTTTTTAAGGGTTGGGAAGTCTTTCCATTATATATGTTTATTACACGTGAACTATTTGTGTGTAGAGTTATTCAGGTCCGGGGATAGCCTTACTGTAATTCTCTTTAAGCACTTAAGAACTAAGGGATTACAGCATAGGTTAAACTATTTTAAGCCGTCTGATGCGCATGTGGATAGGTTGAGATGTGGAGCAATGATTTTATGGTAGATCATTTTATTAACTCTCCATATTCTTTCTAAGGAGAAACTAATGTTTGGGCACCTCAATCCATACATGTAAATTAATTTCGCGACTGGGAGCAAGTTCAGTTTTTTGAAAGCATAGGCATAGGGACTAAAGGATATAAACGTAACCTGTATTCATTACTGGCTCTATCCCTGCAGTTCTGGGCAGGGATTTATAGAGTAAAAACATGCCGTCTATGTTTATATTTATGACGTGAAATCTAAAATATCCTTGCATGAATCTTTTTGTAAATTGTGTAAATAATGTTCTAAGAAAATAAAGAACCTTTAGTAATATCATCATATTGGCCACCACAATGCCCCCAATTTTAACCAGGAGTGCATATCCACTTTTTAAGACCCTGTTAATGGGAGAAGGCTATTTTATGTTGTTCTGGTAAGTTTAAAGGAAACCCGGGTATTCCTCCCGCTAATCTAGATAGAGAATCTGCTTTGAATAGGTGTTTTAGGAAAACGGACATTCGAGTATAAACTTTATATATGCTCAGCAAGATCCTAGAACTGTGTGATGTCATCCTAAATATGTATGCTGTGGGACGTTTTGGTTTGGAGACCAGAGGAATGAGCATGCTCAGTGCCACTCTCCTCCTGTTTTATATGAGATTGACACACACCCTCTCTCCCACTCAATCACTCACACTATATGATGCAGCCTGTGAGGTGGGGGCAAGACGTGATGATAACTGAGACAAAGGTATTCTATAAAAGATGGGAAAGGCTAGAGCTAAAGAGAAAAGTTAACTATGTATTTACTGATGAAAGCTGAATGACAGACCCACAGACAGTGGAGAAACTGGTTGGAGATTAGTGAGACATCAAGCCTGACATCCCAGCTCTCTGCCAAGAGTCAGAATCTCATCCTGGAGAGAAGAGTCCGAATCTCATTCCAGAGATCAGAGACCAAATCTCATTCCAGAGAGCAGAGTCAGAATCTCATTCCAGAGAGCAGAGTCAGAATCTCATTCCAGAGATCAGAGTCCGAATCTCATTCCAGAGATCAGAGTCCGAATCTCATTCCAGAGATCAGAGACCAAATCTCATTCCAGAGAGCAGAGTCAGAATCTCATTCCAGAGAGCAGAGTCCGAATCTCATTCCAGAGATCAGAGTCCGAATCTCATTCCAGAGATCAGAGTCCGAATCTCATTCCAGAGATCAGAGTCAGAATCTCATTCCAGAGAGCAGAATCAGAATCTCATTCCAGAGATCAGAGTCAGAATCTCATTCCAGAGATCAGAGTCAGAATCTCATTCCAGAGATCAGAGTCAGAATCTCATTCCAGAGATCAGAGTTCGAATCTCATTCCAGAGATCAGAGTCCGAATCTCATTCCAGAGAGCAGAGTCAGAATCTCATTCCAGAGATCAGAGTTCGAATCTCACTCCAGAGATCAGAGTCCGAATCTCATTCCAGAGAGCAGAGTCAGAATCTCATTCCAGAGATCAGAGTCAGAATCTCATTCCAGAGATCAGAGTCCGAATCTCATTCCAGAGAGCAGAGTCAGAATCTCATTCCAGAGATCAGAGTTAGAATCTCATTCCAGAGAGCAGAGTCAGAATCTCATTCCAGAGATCAGAGTTAGAATCTCATTCCAGAGATCAGAGTCAGAATCTCATTCCAGAGAGCAGAGACAGAATCTCATTCCAGAGATCAGAGTCAGAATCTCATTCCAGAGATCAGAGTCAGAAACTCATTCCAGAGATCAGAGTTAGAATCTCATTCCAGAGATCAGAGTCAGAATCTCAGTCTTTTTTTCCACATTTTTTTATGACAAATATATAATTTTTACGAATTTTTAATAAATGTAAAAATGTTTAACAATCCTAGAACTATAAAGCATAAAAATGAATGTAAGGTGTGAAGCCTTACCTAAGGATACATAATGTCTTCTTTAAATCTCCTTCGTCATTAAATACATCTGGCAGAAAAGTAATTTGCACGTTGGTTTTGGGTCCCTGACTTTGCCCAAGAATGTGGAGGGGTTTGCTCTACCTGATTTCAAATGATATTACCAGGCAACGCACCTGTTGCTTACACTAGAGTGGTCCAAAAAGGGGTACATAAGCACCCATGCCTTGCTCCACCGTATGAAGGAGCATAGAGCTGTGGAAGAACTGATTATTAGCTCCAATGGACGACACCAAATAATGTATCCATATGGACTCACGGGATACTTAGTATTAAGTCCCCACGTTTCCAGCCTCTAGTGACAAGAGCCTCTACGTTGATGGTGAGGATCTCTTAGGGATCCCACCATCGTTGCCCCATTATATTGACAAATGCATTTATCCATCCATATCTTTTATATATATTTTTTTTACTGTTTTTAATTACTGTGCCTGTGGATATCTATGTAAAGCCTCCCAGTGCTGGCTGTTACTGATTGAGGCGGTAAGCTGTGCATCGCTTTCTTTGTCTGACTCCCTCCGCCCCCTCCCCCTTTTTATTTTTTGGGGGTTACAACATTTCTTTTACATCTGTGTGATTGGCTAGATGTCTGTATTATTGCACTAATGCACTACAAAACCAAATACAATCTGATTTACAAAACAACAAAAACAGAAGAAAAAAAACAATTAATTTAAGAAATAATGAGGAAAGGAAAATGGCCCTGGGGCTATAACTAACTTACTAATTAATATAAAATTTCTTGTCAGTTGGGTTTCATCTTTTATTTCATTTTCCTTCCTTCATTATGCCTTAAATTAATTGTTTTATTTTCTGTTTTTGTTGTTTTTTAAATCAAATTGTATTTGGTTTTGAGGCAAACCATTCTATACCCTACTTTAACCAACAGAGGTCACGGGTAGCAACAGAGTCATCTGACAGGGAAGTTCCTCAGTATTATCGGTTCAACCTGATATATCTACTCTACATGTAGGAGGTGCCTTATCTTTCCAAATTCAGTAGGATTAGGCTCTTAGCCACAGTAAGTAGTCTAATTACAAGTGAGATAACTGTGTACTTCAGCAATTAGTGAATTTAAGCAGCATAGCCTCAGGGGGAAATATTATGAATATATCTGATAATTGGCTAATTGTTTTATATATTTTATGCTAAAAATAGGATGATTGAAAGTATTTTGAAATAAATCTAAATCCTAATCACTGGCCGTTGAAGAGAAAATCTTGACTTTGGTGGATCATTGACTACCTATTTCACAAGGCACAAGAGATTTGTGGCATTGTTCACCACATTTTGATGGAAAGGTTAGGGAGCCCAATAACTGTAGTGGAGCTCCCTGTACCCTGGTTGGATACCTTTGCCAAGGACCCTTCAGCGCTTCTGCCCCAGTCGCTATGGCTTGACTGGGATCCTCCTGGAGCTTCTCCATCCTGGAACAGGATAGGGGACTAACTCTATTTCGTCCCTGGGACTGGACAACACTCAGTCCTGGGAGCTCTAAGGACTTACCCCGCCGAATCCTCCATGAGCTGGAAAAAGGTGCTGAGTAGTGAATAGCCCTACCCCTTCTAGTAACTAGATGACACATAGTTCTTGGGGTACAACTGATTTTAATGAGCCAAACTCTGGCTTTTACCCCAGCAGGGGGTCTCCATTGCATTCAGCACAAGCGCCTTCCAGGAATCTCTGGGCCTGGGAGATAATTGTGTTAAAGACCGGTAAGCTAATTATTTCCCAGGAACAGGGAGGCAAACACAAAAACATTAAACATAAAAGTACCCCAAAACATAATAAAAACAGAAAATAACCCCACAAATAATACATCCCCAAATAGCCCTGACTTGAGGGCCTAAGTTCTTCAAATAGCGCTCAGATCCATGCAGTGTAGGTGAAATGCCACCGTGTTAAAGTTATGCCACACACGTGGTCCTATGCCTAAAATCGTTCGATGGCGTTTGGTGCTTTTGCTGGTCAACTTTTAGGAGCTCCTGCAGCTGCAATACGGGATGTTCCGCATGGCTCTCAGGTAGCATTTCTTCCTCTTAGTCTCAGGCACCCTCCCTCCAAAAAGCACTCTCCTGGCAGATTTCTAAGTGGTTCAAAACCGCGAACCAAGTTGTCCGAAACCGCACGGTCACCTAATGCGAAAAACAGTTCCATAACATTCACAGCTAAATCCCGCTGAGGTGACTGGGAACCCACGAAGTCCGAATGCCGAAATTATTTCCATAGCGATCGCGGCTAAGTGGCTTCCTGGTCAGAGAGCTAACTTTCGGTTCAATTCCCATGAAGGGAAAGTGCTGAACCAGGGGCACCCAGGGTGAAGGCGGCTGGGCAGGGTAACTCCCAAATGGTGTCCCAGACCTGGACAATAGTCAGTGGGCAGGAGGCCGGCTTCCACAGTCCTCCAGGAGTTCATGGCAAACGTACATGAGAAGGAGCTTGACCCCTTTTCAATTAGGTGCAATAAGGATTCTAAGGACCAGCCACATTGGCCCAATATTTTCCAATAATATAAGGAAATTAGAAGGTATTTGTGAGGAAAGCAACTTCGCCACTGATTTTTGGAGGGGCCTGTTTGCCAGCCTCCTACCCTGGGACTATGGGCTCTGTGATAACCCATGTTTACAAGTACTGTTTCTGCCCCTTGGACTTTTAACTGGAACAGATTCAAACATGTGGCGGCGGCCATCTTGAATTATCCAGCAGTGTTTTGTCGTTGAGTGTATGGAACTATTTTGGGCATGGGACCATGTGCACGGTGGGACAAAAATAAAACCTCCAGGAAATTCCTGAACCCTTGAACCGATCTGGGTGATTTTCGGATATGTTGTTCACCCAGATCGGAGTTATCAGGGTATGTGTTGTATTTTGGGGTTTGTAAAAAATTATGTTTTTTCTGCTTAGAGTTAATTGAGTTAGTCCATTGTCTTCATTAATTATATCCCAGGCAGATGGGAGGGATTGTGTACACTGTATGGGAGTGACTGAATGTAAAACTATGTTTTTATTGGCTTCTTGTTCCTGTGTCCCTGTGCCCCACAAGGTCCATCTGGGTGGTAACCTTGTGGGGAAAACTGTATAAAAGGCCAAGCTGTTCAATAAACCCTCAGATCTGCTGTTCCTGTTTGACCCCCAACACATAGTCTTGTCTCATTATTGTAGGGAACTGGGGATTGCTATACTTGGTATACTCCCCTGCTCAAATCACTAAGCTCTTTTAAGAGCTGTTCCTGTTACGCTCTCGTGGAGGAGAGGTCTGTCCCACACAGTCCTGGATGTCAGAGGTTGATCCAGAGTGGAAAGAAGACTAAGAGATTCCAGTTAAGCTACGGTGGTTGTGGAGTCTGCGGTGGTTGTGGTGTCTGGTGAGGTGCTTATAGTCCTCGGCGTCAGCTAGAAATCATCCGTTAACAGAGTTACCCAGTCGGGGTGCCAGGTGATCCGTTACAGTATTGTTAAAAATTGTCTGTGGTATACGGGATATTTGCTATATCTACAATTACATTCCCTATTAAAGAAAGTCAAACAGAAACGGTCCCTTGCCCTGTCCATGACAACAGATATGTCTATCATAGAAAAAATGTGCACAGGCACTAAACCAAAAAAGAAAGTTATACCAGTCTGCTATGACACAATAATATGGGACGCTAGTTATCCCGTACCCAAATAGACGAGGGAATGGGAGAGAGACCTGTGGCACGAGATCTCTTTTGTCGCCTGGTCGAAAGCCTTTAAGATAGACCAACAGTATACTAGGCGCACTTCTCATGTGGAACTAATGCGGAAGATAGCATCCAGATGGTACCTAGTACCAGTGCGATTAGGTCACATAATCCCAACTGCATCTGACAGATGAAAGGATCTATGTTGCATATTTGGTGGAAGTACGTAGTAATCAAACACTTCTGGGAGATGATAATAACCCATATCTTAGAAGTCATCAAAAAGCCTACCACGGTATCCATCAAACACTTTCTCCTGTTTATGTTCCCAAATAATCTCTCAAAGCAACAAGGGATCTTAACCTTCCATATACTGGTAGCAGCAAACATATTTTTAGCAAGAGGCTGCAAGTCCTCCACAACCCCCAGCAGGAGAGAAGTGGTGCAACAAGTATCTATCAATGATAGATAAGAAAAGATGGCCCATAGTTCTACAGGTCTAACACAAAAATAGCTGCATGGGAAGGATGGGAAGAATGGATGGGGTGCCAAGATGAATCCACAAACGCGGACCCGGCAGCAGTTGACATATAATGTTATGCGATTATAAATCTCTCTCCCTCACCTTCCTGCTTACCTGATACAAACCTGTGCTGTCGGACAACCATGCCACAGATCACCTCCTCCACCTCCATGCCATACATCAGTAGTTCACCTTCTCCTGTGTCGCTTTTTCTTCTTCCTTTCTTACTTTACCTAACTCTCACTACATTCTCCTAGTCCAGCCTGGATCTGGCAAATATTTCAGAAATTCCTGTACCCTTTACAATGTTTTAAGGACAGGGACTTATTATACTAGCAGGGCGTTACATTGTTATTATGTGAGAGGCCAGGCTGGCCTCAGGTGGCAGATAGTTCGAGGGCTTGGCCATATGTAGCCCAATAAGCTAAACATATACTAGTTAAAAAGGTTATCGCATCCTGCACAAATTGAATACCAACCTGATGGTGCATGATGGACGTTTTTATGTCTCAACATTTTTTACTGGACACTTGTACACACTGTATTGCCCTGTGTTAACATTGTAATTTATACTCTCTTCTGTCAATCTTATGTATATATGCATTACCGGAAAAAATAAAGAAAGAAATAAATAAAAAATAATAAAAAAATAAAAAATTGTCTGTAGTAATTACGGAACTTTGTGGAGAATTTTCATTTTAATAACACCAATGCGACAAAACCATGAGATTTGAGGTGTTCACTAACTGTCACGTAAATTAAGTTAAATCCTGATTGATAGATTTCAACAGAGTATTATATAAATTTCTTAAAGAAGATGTCAAGTAAATATCCAGATATTTTAACCAGGATGAGAAACGTCTGAAGGGGTAAGATTTCTGCCGACATTTCAATAAATCCAAAGGAATCGTTAATCCAGGCTTTTCAGATTATGTTGGTCTTAAAGTTACTAAGTTTACTAAAAATATTATTATTATCTATTACTTTTGTGACTTTTCTGTCATTTTATCCTTTCGTTTAATTTGTATAGTGCCATTTATTTATTAATATTTCACCTTTTTTCACAAAAAAATACTTTTTTCTTAGCATGAAAGGCATGGCGGAAAGAATAATCACCCAGTATTCTTATTTAATTGGAAATAATTGACGAGGCATAACAATATGGTGAATATATTCAGATAAGAGAGGCCTCCCCAAAAAAAAGACATTTTTCCATGGCACTTTGATGAGTGACTTTATGAGATAAAATTGTTTAATTTTTGTTGGTTAGAGTTCTGGCTAATTTTTTTTGATCATATGCAAATAGTAACATAGGTTAGTGTCTATTAAATAATAAAGGCTTTTAAAAAAAATAGCTTAGAACATTTGCCTTGGTCCATAAAACAGTAACATATAATTAAAAAAGTTTGGCGTTTCACAAGGGTGACCTGGAAGTTTTAACATTGAACTTCATGTATTTACCATGTTATGGGCTGTTGTACTCTTATGACAAACTAGTTAGGTCACTTGTTAAGCATCTGTTTAAAGGGCTTTACATTGTGAATTAAAACACGACTCCTGGCGCATGTATATTGCAGTGGTGAAGAAGTACTATTAGAACAGCAGATCTACTAAGGTAAGAGCACGTTTGTCTATCAAACAACTAAATGTTTGGTATTGGAATTGGATAAAAACATGTCAACAATATATCACCTCTACATTTCTGCCAGAATTTTGGTTTTGATAAAAAAGATAATTGTTCAATAATTGTCTATTGCAGACGCAGGCAATTGGAAAACTTTTTTTCTACTTTTGGACATAAACTCTCATCGTCCTCAGCCAGGGAAGGGCTTGGTTAACCTTATTGTCTAAACCGCCAAGGATGCAAAGACCAGGTATATGCATGTCTTAATATGTTAGTTTATATATGAAGGAGCTTTTATCTATACACTAGTGATGTTTAACCTGCGCACTAAAGATATTTCTGAACTACGTTTTATAATTGAATAATTTTATATAATAATAGGAAATGCAGGTGATAAGGATAGCCATCACTAGTTTAGAGCAAGGATTCTGGGGAGACTCGCCTGGGAAGTCAGGCAACTGTGTATCTGTGGGTGCTATTCATTGCACAGTGAATTGTGATGAATTTAAAACAGGATTCTTAAATTTAGCTGTTTAGTAATTATTCTCCAATCTGGAGACAGCTCGGCTAGTTTAGTCTTCATTTTACAATAGTCTTCAATTCACTGTTTAGTGAGTCAACCCTTAAATCTTTTACAACTACAATCAATATTTCTAACTTTTTACTCTACTTCATTCATTCATTTAAGCTTTGATCCACCACACTCCTTTTACATCATTTCACTAAAAACTGTACTTTATTTTTTTTTGTATTCATTAAGAATTTCAATGCTTCTGATTAAGAAATCTTATTATTTAGATAGGAAGGGACAAAAATAAAATAAACAGTAATAAGTTGCAATCTGATATGTGTATATGTAGTAAGATACGGTACAGAAAGTGGGAAAATAAATATACATTTGTACACGGCATGTTTTTGTATAAGGGAATCTGTGCTTTGTGACCACTGTCTGCAGAACACAATAGCCCTAACTTTGTATGAGCAATTTCATTTTTGGCAATGATGACATTTTTGTGCCATGATGCATTAGGGGTCAATTAACTAGAGACCTATTTATATATTTGTTTTACAGACGTAGATAATATTATTGCACTATTATTAATAGTATGTGGCACTAATAATGGTATGTAACATATTGCACTATTATTAATAGTATGTGACACTATTAATAGTATGTAACATATTGCACTATTATTATTAATAGTATGTGACATACTGCACTATTATTAATACTACGTGACATATTGCACTATTATAAATAGTACCTAACATATTGCACTGTTCTTATTAATACTACGTGACATATTGCACTATTATAAATAGTACCTAACATATTGCACTGTTCTTATTAATAATACGTGATATATTGCACTATTATTATTAATAGTATGTAACATATTGCACTATTATAAATAGTATGTGACATATTGCACTATTACTAATAGTACATGACATCTTGCACTATTATTATTAATAGTACGTGACATATTACACTATTATTAACATTCCGTGACATATTACACTATTATTAATAGTACGTGACATATTGCACTATTATTAATAGTACATAACATATTGCGCTGTTCTTATTAATAATACGTGACATATTGCACTATTATTATTAATAGTACGTGACATATTACACTATTATTAACATTCCTTGACATATTGCACTATTATTAATAGTACATGACATATTGCCCTATTACTAAAAGTACGTGACATATTGCACTGTTATTAATAGTACGTAACATATTGCACTATTATTAATAGTATGTGACATATTACACTATTATTATTAATAGTACGTGAGATATTGCACTATTTTTAATAATAATACGTGAAATATTGCACTATTATTAATAGTACGTGACATATTGCACTATTACTGATGGTACATGACATATTGCACTATTATTATTAATAGTACATGACATCTTGCACTATTATTAATAGTACGTGACATATTGCACTATTACTGATAGTACATGACATATTGCACTATTATTATTAATAGTACATGACATCTTGCACTATTATTAATAGTACGTGACATATTGCACTATTACTATTAGTACATGACATATTGCACTAAAAACCTAAAAATGTGGGGATAGGCTCCCTTTATTACTTACCCATTCGTGCTTTTACACCATTCGTGTACTTCTGCGTTTGTGTGGCAAACAGCCGACCGCAGGGTACACACTCCTCTCGTTTATTTTCATATAAGCTAACTACCGACTGCACTAAACGAACTTACGTTCGACTATTTCATCCGTTTGTTCGTTTGTTCGTTCATCCGACCTCAGGTACAATTGGCTTTCGTTTTAAAAATCTGTTTTGTATGCTCCATTTAGCCGAACGCAGGAGTTCTTTCTCATTACAGTTCTCCTGTTCATTTGTTTACCGAACACAAGAGGCTACAGTGTTTAAATTCACTAATCTACTGTAATAGTATAGTAATGCTTTCACATATCTAAGCTCTCACATTATTTATCCTATATGAATTTATGTGTTTTTATTATATGGCTCTTAAAGTCACCACTGGTTAAATAATATGTGTTTCTAATTTTCCGCTATGGTCACATAATTATGGGACACCTATCTTTTACAGGGTAAATCTTCTTAAAGGCGCTGTTTGTCCACTTTCTCTTATAAGTTAAATTATAAAGTACACCTCCAGGCATTATCATACCCTGCTGAGACTTAGTCTATTGTGCTTTCCCTTATGTATTAGTAGAGATGTCCCGAACAGTTCACTGGCGAATAGTTCCTGGCGAACATCACATGTTCGCGTTCTCCACGGCGGGCGAACATATGCAATGTTCGGTCCGCCCCCTATTCCATATCATTGAGTAAACTTTGACAACCCCCCACCCGCCGCTCGGGGGTGGGGGTTGTCAAAGTTTACTCAATGATATGGGGGGGGACCTACTGTCCTCCCCCCGGCCCCCACCCCTGAGCGGTGGGTGGGGGCCCTAAAAAAAACAATAGGGGGGGAACTTCTGTCCCCCCCCAGCCCCCACCCCTGAATGGTGGGTGGGGGCCTTAAATACTAAGAAGGGGGGGGACCTAAGGTCCTCCCCCCTGGCCCCCACCCCTGAGCGGCGGGTGGGGGCCCTAAATACTAAAAAGGGGGGGACCTAAGGTCCTCCCCCCTGGCCCCCACCCCTGAGCGGCGGGTGGGAGCCCTAAATACTAAAAAGGGGGGGGACCTAATGTCCTCCCCCCGGGCCCCCACCCCTGAGCGGTGGGTGGGGGCAAATAAATCACAATGGGGGGGGACCTAAGGTCCTCC